CCATTTGTAAAATGGGGTCTTTATTTTTTTTTGGTTGAAATATGAGATTTCCTAGGATGATTGGGCATTCTGAGGCTTTAATCGATTTTGTCGCAAAAATTTGTAGGGTTCACCCTCCCTGCTGCTTGCTGAACTCGATTTTATAATCGCTGATACGATGTAGAAAAACACATTTATAATTCGATGTAAAGCTTATTTATCAGACAAAACAAAACTAGGTACCATTGTGAGATATACTGATGGCGAGTCACCGCAGTTTACTTATCTAAGATCTTCGATGCTAGCTTATGTTTCGATAAATCTATTATCGATGATAAACATTTTTCCTCGTTACGTTGTTAGAGTTGCGACAGATTCATTTTATATACACAAAAAAATATAAAGATTCATTAAATCTCGATAATGGTGAATGGGGAACGTGGTGGATAAAACAAGAAAATATACTTAGTTATTGTGAATCTGCCGATGTTGAAATGACAAAAATAATCAAGTATCAAAATCATCTGCGCCATCCGTGTATGATCATCTATCTAGACATAAGACCGCTTATCTTAATGGATGTGGAGGTTCAGGTAAAACAACACGCGCGATTAATTTATTCACGAGTTTAGATATGATTGTTTTAACACCAACGCACAAACTCGCCAGGGAAATAAAGCAACGAAATGTAAAGTCGTGTACATATCATAGTTTCTTTAGATGGTGCGGAGATACATGGATCCCATCACGAATGGGTGAAAAATATATACCTAAAATTATCATATGGGACGAGATATGCACGGTGCCTCTGGAAGTATTACAAATATTTCTTGATTGGATGTTACTAAAGAATACTGCTGTGATTATGTGTGGTGATCATGTCAACCACCACCCTTTGTTGGTCAGTCTCCACATGAGTGGCTAAAGAACAATGTAGATTGTTATGAAGAAATATCTGACGATCATAGAGCTGTTGATGAGTCGCTGAAAAATTCAAAAGAATAATACGACTACAACCAGATAAAATAGTGTGAAGTAATGCGTGAGATAATTCCAGAAACATCCTCGAATGATTTTTGGACCCTATGGAAACCTGCTGATTTTATAAATGCGAGTAGAAAATTAGTTCGTGACGAACTATAAAAGAAATTATATGCGTTACACAAGGAGAAATTCCCAAAGTTACCTGTACCGTTGTGTTATCGCCCTGCAGATACTAGACAACAAAATATTGATGTTAAGATTCCTAGTGAAAGTGTCCGAATACAAAATCTTGTGTTAAATGATATTGTCCTTGTCGCTGTTGATGTTGTCGAGAGCGCGTTAAATATAAATAAATCTCCATGGACGTTAGGGTACGCCAGAACTATTCATTCGTCACATGGATTAACTATCACTGATACTAAAGTTTGGATAGTAGATGATCGTATTGAGTGGTTAAATTTAGTTTATCTCGCAGTATCTCGAGCTAGAAGACTATCACAACTAAAACGGGTAATCATGGATTGCGTAATAACCGAAGAAATCACTAATCACTAATAATTTCGATATCAATCAAAATATATGCAGCTATAAGCAGTGTGATAAAAAAAAATAATCGCGAGTTTGATATAGATGTGGATATTGTTATGATGTTAGAACGACGACAAAAGTCATTGCGCAAATTGCAACACAATAATGTTGTGGCAGTATTCGAGCAATAACCCAAGACAATTTACCGTTGATAGAATTAATAGCAGTCTTGGTCACACGCGTGAAAATGTCATGCTGACCTGCTTGGAGTGTAATCGAAGTCGAGGATGTGCAAGTTTATATAAGTGTACTCGGTGGTAATTGCGTATCCTCAGGAATTATTTGTAATTGTTCACGTACAAATCCACGTTGAGGGGCAGTTGAATCTAAAATGTAGATTGCAGGTCTACATGTGTATCTTACCATGCTGGATATTTTGTGTGTGGTCACACTCCAAATAGGATCGGTTGCCCTTTTTCTACCTCCTTCAAATTCTCCAGGTTCGTAAAAATATTTAACCATAACATTGCCTAGTACTGGTTGAGAAATAGATTTACGTTTTATCTGTATATATTTTTGTGATCGCATCAGACGGTTTCATGGAAGTTGCACAAGTAACTTCCTTATTCAGCGCAGCTATCACAATTCGGTAACCTCGCAACCCATTCACGAGACCTTGTATATGTGGATATTTCCTTTGCATATTGATACCCGAATAACCGTTCAGCAAGTGTTCGATTAAATCGTTCAACGATTGCCTGATCACGATGAATCTCAGTATACCCTCGTCTGATTTTAACGTTGTACTTGTTCATCAACGATGATACTGCACCAAGAAATTCTTTGCCAGGATCAACCTGTTGTAATTTTGGCCATTGTAATGGTCCTCGCTTATAAATTCTACTTACTACTATATATATACGCAATTGAACCATATATATATGTACGCAATTGAACCATCTGTTCCTAGATTTGATCTTGACAGACTACCAGAATATAAATTTAGTGTTTCGATGCAAGATCTTGCTTTAACGAATGTAGATATAACCAAACGTATCCGTGAAGCAAAGAAGGAATTTCGTAATGATTTTGCTGTTCATGTGAGGTCAACTTTCAGAGTTGGAACTGTTATTAATATAATGAATGACGAACGAAGAAAAGTAATTTTTAACCACCTTGATAATCAAAAATTTTATTTTAATAAAATTTATTGTAGAGACAGACGATAATGTTTGGATGTTCGTGATAAAAGTGATCCCGTTCAAATACAGTCGGGAAATAAAATCGTTTTATTAAATAATAAATCCAAATCTGGAATACTGACTGATATTGATAGGCCATATTTTTAGCGAGGGTATTCTGTTACTGCTGTAGTCTACGCAATATAAAAGCTGAATAATAAACCTAACAGTGCAGACCTCAATCCGATGGGTTTGTCAGAGTAAAAAATAAACTGTGTACGAATTACAGAACATTTCACAAATGTGATACGTGGCAATGGCTAAACACATTTTCGACGTAAAAATGTAAATGGGCAGAAACTATTAAAAATAATGGAGCATCTATTAAGGATGTTGCTGAACTAGAAAAATTATTAAGACTTTCAATAACCGTAAAAACACTAACAGGAGAGATATTATACGAAATAAAATATACAAAACATGGAAACCCTATAACAATCGTTGATAATAATTCACATGCATGGACTGATACTGTAACAATATTTTCACGAGACAAAGTTGTTAAATTTTATAATGGTCATATATTTGATTTTACTCAAAATATCAGTAAAAGTGACCCTGTATCTGTTTGGTCTTTTCAAAGTTCGGAACACAATTACGATCAATTTGTACGGCCTAATGGTGATATATACCGTACATAATCTCTTTATGAAGAAATGAGAAATCCTGCACTAAAATATAGTCCTGACGATATCAAAATTAGACAACTACTGAATAATTGTTTTACCGTACCATCGTTCGTGGTCCATTTCGCTCATAAAAATTTTTTATGGAAAACAACAAAATCAGAATTTAATACAATCTACAAAAAAAGTTGCATAGAATATGGACAAGGTGGATTATGGAATACTAAATACGATTATAATGATTTTATGTCCGTCGATATGGCTGCATGTTATCCTGGGAGTTTTCTGGAATATTGTGAGTGTTCTAAATAATTTGACAGGCTCGGCCACCCTATACATGACATGACCAGAGTTTCGATAAATGGACACTTACCAGATTTTGACTTAACAGTATTTGCATATATAGAATCATTCAAGTTCGCATAAGATCTCCGTCGGATTACTTATGTTTGGTTTGGAAGACATTTTTCAGAAAAATGATGGAGTCCAATAGTGCTATTAAGATATATACTTGATGCTGTAATTTTAATATCGTTGAAGGTAAATGAAGCAAGTATATCCTTTAGTCCAGAAAAGCAAGTTTGGTTACCAGAACCGGATAGATTTAGTATAGAAAATGCCATGAAAGAATTTCCTGATCTTGCCGAAGATGACATTATTAAAATTACTAATAATATACGTAAATGCAGGGACGAGCACGATGAAATAGTGCGAAAGATCTTGGAAGGAAGATAATCGGTAAGTTTACTCAATGCAGTTCATACGGTTAAAAACGACAATGTACTAGATTGGTTATGGACGATGCTGAGCTAGATTTTATAATCGCTGTTACAACGGAGAAAATCACATTTATAAGCCGATGTAATGCTTATTTATCGTATGGGACCAAACTAAGTACCATTGTGAGCTATAATGATGGCGACTCACAGCAATTTACTCATTTAAGATCTTCGATGCTAGCCTATATTTCTATAAATCTACTGTCGATGATAAATAGATTTCCTAATTAAGATGTTAGAGTTGCTACGGATTCATTTTATATAAACAAAAAATATATAAGGATTTATTAAAGCTGCCACTCGGTATTTGGTAAGTGGGGAACATGGAGGATAAAACAAGAAAATATACTCAGTTATTCGGAATTTGCTGACGTTGAAATTAAGGAAATATATTACAGAAATAATAATCAAATATCAAAGTCATCTGCACCATCTGTGTACGATCCTGTGGCTAGACATAAGACTGTCTACGTACATACATGCATGCATGCATGCATACATACATGCATGCATGCATGCATGCATGCATGCATGCATGCATACATACATACATACATACATACATACATACATACATACATACATACATACATACATATATACATACATACATACATACATACATACATACATAGACAGATAAATACATACACATACACATACATGCATGCATGCATACATACATGCATACATGCATGCATACATACATACATACATACATACATACATACATACATACATACATACATACACATACACATACATGCATGCATGCATGCATGCATGCATGCATACATACATACATACATACATACATACATACATACATACATACATACATACATACATACATACATACACACTGCTCTGGTGGCCTAGTGGATAGAGCGTCCGCCTCAGATGCGGGAAGTAGTGCGTTAGATCCCCAGCTGAGTCATACCAAAGACTTACAAAAATGGTCATAACAGCTGCCTCGCTTGACGCTGAGCATTACGAGGTTAGTGTTAGGACTGGTCGGCCTGGTGTCAGGATAATGTAATTGGGTGGGTCATCATATTACATGTCTACGGCTTGATGCCCCAGTGCAAGACATCACTATAAACTGCCACAATGCAGACATCATAGCGATATGACTGAAAAATTGTTAAATCTACGTTAAACATCATAATCACATACATACATACATACATACATACATACATACATACATACATACATACATACATACATACATACATACATACATACATACATACATACATACATACATACATACATACATACATACATACATTCATGCAGACATGCAGACATGCATACATACATGCAAACACTTAGGACTTATCGCGAAATCCTAAAACAATAATCTCTTAAAGCTAAAGGCCAAATCAGGTCGCTGTTTTTAACAGTTTTATAAGTCTTTGGTATGACTCTCACGGGTTCTAACTCGAGACCTTCCGATGTCGTGCGGACGCTCTAGCCACATATACCACCCATGGAAAACAATAATCTCTTAAAGCTAAAGACCAGGTCGGGTCGCTGTTTTTAAAAGTTTTATAAGTCTTTGGTATGACTCTCACGGGTTCTAACTTGAGACCTTCCGATGTCGTGCAGACGCTCTAGCCACATATACCACCCATGGAGTCGACACATACATACATACATACATACATACATACATACATACATACATACATACATACATACATACATACATACATACACACACACACACACACACACACATACATACATACATACATACATACATACATACATACATACATACATACATACATACATACATACATACATACATTCATACATACATACCGATGTCCTGTACTTGGACATCATGCCACTAAGTCTACATTGGGTCAGTTCGTACCGATGTCCTGTACTGGGACATCATGCCACTAAGTCTGCATTGTGTCAGTTCGTACCAATGTCCTGTACTGGGACATCATGCCGCTAAGTCTTCATTGTGTCAGTTCGTACTGATGTCCAATACTGGGACATATCGCCACCAAGTCTGCATTGTGTCAGTTCGTACCGATGTCCTGTACGGGGACATCAAGCCGCTAAGTCTGCATTGTGTCAGTTCGTACTAGTGTGCACAACTTGGACTTCATGCCGCGGACATGTAGCGTCATGGGCCACAGGAAACCACTCCAACCAGTCATTAACGTAACCGATTAGTCCTGAGCGACAAGTCAGGAAGAAGCTAGTAATATTTTTATAAGTCTTTCCTACGACTCCAAATCGGATCAAACTCGAGATCTTCCGACACCGAGGCGTACGCTCTAACCACTTACGCCACGGGAGAAGTCAACACCATACATACATACATACATACATACATACATACATACATACATACATACATACATACATACATACATACATACATACATACATACATACATACATACATACATACATACATACATACATACATACATTTATGACTTGTCGCCTAATGTAGTTGTTACGCACAGTATTTACTGCGCATTGTGTTTTATATCTGTTTGCACGAATTATAATTTATGTTAACGTATGAGAACAGGAATGATATAATATGGATCATTTTCAAATTTTAGATTTGGCGCACCTTGCATTTAAAAAAAAAATCATAGTGTGTGTTTATATGTTCGTGTGTAGCGGACAGTTTGTAAGAAAAAACATTCGCGGGAGAGAATATGGTATGTAACAAGTTAAACCATACACCAAGTGGAAATCAAAGGTATCGCTGTCCTTGCACAAAATAATTTGGAAATATATGTAATGTTCTCAACTCAGCTATACAACCAGTGCCAAATACTCTGAATGGAACATAATTATATGACGCATATATCGCTTGTTAATCCAGCAATAATTTTTCAATGTTGTTCTCCTTTCCATCTTAACATCAGTAGACCAATTTGTGTTTTATTTTGCAGAGATACATACATACATGCATGCATACATCCATGCATACATACATATATGCATACATACATACATACATACATACATACATACATACATACATACATACATACATACATACATACATACATACATACATACATACATACATACATACATTCATTTAGGACTTGTCGCTTAATGTAGCTGAAGCGTACAGTATTTACTGCGTATTGTGTTTTAGATCTGTTTTGCACGAATTATAATTTATGTTAATGTATGCAAACAGGAATGATATAATTTGGACCATTTTAACTGTTAGAGTTTGGCGCACCTTGCATTACAAAATAGTTTGTGTGTGTCTTTGTTTGTGTCTGTCTGTCTTTGTTTGCGGCTTAGATTTGTAACGTAGCTTTAATATTGTTTCACTCATATCTCCACTAAGTCTGCCTTGTGTCAGTTCGTACTGATGTCCTGTGCTGGGACATATCGCCACTAAGTCTGCATTTTGTCAGTTCATACTGATGTCCTGTACTGGGACATCATGCCACTAAGTCTGCATTGTGTCAGTTCGTACTGATGTCCTGTACTGGGACATCATGCCACTAAGTCTGCATTGTGTCAGTTCGTAACGATGTCCTGTACGGGGACATCATGCCGCTAAGTCTGCATTGTGTCAGTTCGTACTGGTGTCCACTACTTGGACATCATGCCGCGGACATGTAGCGTCATGGCCCACAGGAAACCACTCCAACCAGTCTTTAACGTAACCGCTTAGTCCTGAACGACAAGTCAGGAAGAAGCTAGTAATATTTTTATAAGTCTTTCCTACGACTCTAAATCGGATCAAACTCGAGATCTTCCGACACCGAGGCGTACGCTCTAACCACTTACGCCACGGGAGAGGTCGACACCATACATACATACATACATACATACATACATACATACATACATACATACATACATACATACATACATACATACATACATACATACATACATACATACATACATTTATGACTTGTCGCCTAATGTAGTTGTTACGCACAGTATTTACTGCGCATTGTGTTTTATATATATTTTGCACGAATTATAATTTATGTTAACGTATGAGAACAGGAATGATATAATATGGATCATTTTCAAATTTTAGATTTGGCGCACCTTGCATTTAAAAAAAAATCATAGTGTGTGTATATGTTTGTGTGTAGCGGACAGTTTGTTGTTGTTGTTGTTGTTGTTGTTATTGGGCTTAATGCCATTTTTCAGCACACGATAGGCTATTCATGGCGGCCAGTATTAATGGTGGAGGAAGAAACCGGGAAATCACCGGAAAGAACCACCGACCCACGAGAAGCTACTGGCAAGCTTTCTCACATATCCCCATTCGCCGAATCCTAGATTCGAACTCGCGCAGAGAGAGGTGAGATGGCAGTGATCCGTAACGGACAGCGCTTTAAACCACTCGGCCACTCGGGGCCCCCGGACAGTTTGTAAGGGAAAACATACGCGGGAGAGAATATGGTATGTAATAAGTTAAACCATACACCAAGTGGAAATCAAAGGTATCGCTGTCCTTGCACAAAATAATTTGGAAATATATGTAATGTTCTCAACTCAGCTATACAACCAGTGCCAAATACTCTGAATGGATTATAATTATATGACGCATATATCGCTTGTTAATCCAGCAATAAGTTTTCAATGTTGTTCTCCTTTCCATCTTAACAACAGTAGACCAATTTGTGTTTTATTTTTCAGAGACACACTGCCAAACTTATAACATATTGTCGAAAGTGTAAACATTTTTTTTTTCAACTATATGTGATACATAAACAAGAGATCAGTGCCGGATTAAGAACCGTGGAGGCCCATAGGCAGTCAAACTTTTGGGGCCCCATGCCCCTAGTCGGCCTGGTGCCTACTAGAAGTAGAACGCCAGTGCCCAGTCGATTTTACTCGTTTAAATTAGCCTACCAGTGCCAAGACATAAAATGTCCTTTTACAAGTACAAAATGTCATATGTAGCAATACCGTAATGCCAATACGACATTATAATTATATTTAAAAAAAAAATCTTTCGTCACGGTCTCATTGGGCCCCTAAAAGTCGCGGGGCCCTTAGGCAGTTGCCTACTCTGCCTAATTGGTAATCCGGGACTGCAAGAGATTGTCAGTTCCAATTTATGTTGGATTAGATGCTTCAGGCATATAAACAGACTACCTAAAGCGCTATAAGAAGCGAGTATTTGTACAAGGATTTTGCGGTTGATCCACCTACTTTTATTTGTATGAAATATACGCATTATCAATGCATTGAAACATTCCAGACGGAATGCCGAATGAGTTTAATGTAATGCATTGGAAAAACCCGGTTGTGCGACATAAAAAGACTCCCAAAACACAAACTCAACATGTATATATGCAAGTGTTTACAAGAGGATAGCACTGTTAGCTAATCCACTTACCTCTATTTGTATGAAATGTACACAGAACGTAAAAGCAACTACATCTGAAGATTCTTAAGGCGCACACAATTCCAGGGACGGAGTGCCGAATGAGCGTATGATGTAATGCACTGGAAAAACCCGGTTATCGGCAGTGAAATGGAACGACCAGTAACGTATCAGGTTTTAATGGCTCTCCATTTGTTCTGTGCCAGAATTATTTACACTGATTAATATAAACAGAACATGTAAAGAATGTGACATACTGTACAGCTTTCTGTGTACAGTATGATGAGTCTTGTAACTTATGTTTTCATAAAGATAAAATAGGTTAAATAACATATTCAGTGTAAATTGTATTATCAACTGGTAAGGTATTTGCCCAAACAATATTATTTTCACTCTAACTTGAACGCATAGGTTGATTATTCCAATATTAATAAATATATTAAATGATTATACTATGATTCTTAAAAATATTTTGAAAATGCATGTAGCGGAGAGTTGATGAGGGAAAAATAGGTGCGGGGTCAAAGATGGTCTGTATCAAGTTAAACCAATACTGTACTTACACACAAAAA